CTATTTTCTCTTGGCTCTTTAAGAGAAAAACACAAGTCAAGGAAATGCCTTTACAGTTTCTCCAGGTCTTTGAACGGCAGCAGAAAACTTGACAGCTACCGCCCAGGCCTGAGCACCTGCAGCTGTGGGGCTGTGCGCGTTCTGACTGTGGCAGTGGACTCTCGGGGTCAAGCACGGTCAAACCAAAACAGACTGTAAGGCAGGGGCTGGACTTTTGCAGCACCTTTAGTTTTCAAAGTCAAAACAGCTGGAGTCTCTAATTAAGGTTATAATGCTAACTATGGCTTAAAAAATGCTTTAGTGAACTACTACGCAGCATTTTTTAGATTGTGTATTGTCCTAGTGTCAGTTTTGTCATGATTTTGGAGAGGCTAGGGAGTAAGGAGGTCATTACAATACTCTGGCAAGTGTACGTCAGAGAGGAACGTTGTGTGAAGGAGCCAAAGGAAACCATTGACTGAATCCTCTCGTGTTAGTGCGGCTGCAGACCCCGTGTAGAAACATCAGGTGTCCCAGAATTGACCCTGCTGTGATCGGAGAGGACAGGTGTTCTTCGATAAGGGTCCCAGCATCACAGGTTAATAATGGTTCTTGGTTTAGGTGACGTTTAGGTATGGGGACAAGCACACACCTCACAAATTTGACCAAGATTTGGGGACGGCCACCTACTGGGGAAGACTGTGTATCCCCAGCCCCTCCCCCGGGATATGATGCATTCGTTTGGGAAATGAGTGGAGAAAACAGGAGGATTGACCCAGTTCTGGTGGGCATTAGGAAACTCTAAGCTATTTACTAGAAAACAGTACAGTGTTTTCCCATGTAACTCGACACTAAGTGATAATCCTGCTCTATTAATTGAGCCTTCAGAAATGTTTAATGCAGGGATTTTTTTTTAAACAACTATTAAGGCTTATTTTACATATAAAATTCACCCATTTCAAGTGTACATTTCAGTTATTTTAGTAAGTTTCCTGAAAGGTGAGGCCATAACCATACTCAGTTTTAGATGTTTTCCATCCCACCCCATGAGATCGTTCATGTCCATTTACATGATAATCCTGTTCCCAGTTCTGGGCAACCACACTTATCTGTCTCTACAAATTTGCCTTTTCTGGGCATCACATCAATGGAATCCTACAAACTGTGGTCTCTTGTAGCTAGCTTTTTCCCTTAGCATATTCTTGAGTTTTATCCATGAGGCCTAACTTGTGTTGGTAGTTTGTTCTTTGAGAGCACTCAGTAGTATTCCATTGATGGATATGCCACATTTTGTCAGCAGGGAATCTTGTAAACTTGGATTTCAGCCTCCTGTGGTCTAAATAGAACCCTCAGAGCACAGGACTCCTGGGCAAGCTGCTGCGTGTATCACGTGAACTGCTTATCAGAACCAGCTTTGCCATCAGGACCTCCACACGAGGAGCCTAAACTGCTGCAGAAATTTTTATAACTTTGCAACTTCTTTTTTATAAGGAACTTTTGTGCTGTCTACACATCAGGACTTTTGAAGCATCTGATAATTTAATGAGTGTGTTTTGAGTGGACACAAAAGCAAAACCATCTGTACTCTGTTGGATATTTTATCCTCCCGAACTGGATGGAGGGGAATCGCCGAACTTTCTGAATACAGTATTGTCTCCGTTACAAAGTTGAATGTGTATTAAAGATTGTGCTGCCTTTGTTGGACGGATCTGGAGAGAAGGACAGCCAGCAGAGGAGGTCGAGAGGAGAAAGGGAGTGCAGCCTGAGGAACGAGAAGCCCCTGAGGGTCTGTGTGTGACTTACCCATCTGCTGGTGTGGATGGTAGAGTGCGGATGGGTGCCTTGCAGCAGCTTCACACCTCCAGCGGGCCTACGTCTTGACTTTCGCCTTTGATCCCTGTTTCACAAGTGTTTAAGAGCTGTTTTTGTTCCTTTTCTCTCCTCTAAGTACACATTATGTGGTAGTTATTAATATGTCTTTGGGGGAGGGGCAGGGCTTTAAAATCGAAGAAAATGATTTTCATAAAAATATCAAAAATGGGGGAAAAGTTACTTTTTAAAAATTTTGCTATACAAACCAAATGGCAGCTGTGGAAAAATCTCAATAAAACGAGAATAAAATGCATTTACTTGCTGGCAATGGTACTGTTTTTCCTAAGGTTGGGTGATTATATATCATCGTACAGGGAATGTATGTGTGGTGTGCATTTGTGAGAGATAAAAAAAAAAAGATTGATTTATTTGCGGGGGGCAGAGGGAGAGAGAATCTCAAGCAGACTCCGAGCTGAGTGCAGAGCCTGACGCAGGGCTTGATCTCACAACCCAGAGATCATGACCTGAGCCAAAACCAAGAGACACTTAACCGACTGGGCCACCCAGGTGCCCCTTGTGAGATTTCTGTCTCAAGATGGACCATGGTTTTAGTTGCATCATTTTCCATTCTAAATAGTGTTATAAAGTAGTAGAAGCATTGGATTTGGAAGTCGTAGACCTGAGCGAATCCCACCTCCAGCACTTTCTTAGTGCCTTCAGCCTGCGCCTTAGTTTATAAAGACACGACACTTCCCTCCTAGGACTGCTGTGAAAATTAGACTGAAGTTAATTTCAAAATATTGCCTGGCACAGGGAAGGTGCTTAATACGTAGAGGCAGTAACGTGCTGTAATGTGTACAGCTTTGAACAAAGGTAGTAACAGGAAATCCTTGGACTGAAAAGGAAATTGGATAGCTGTTACCTTCCTGCCTCGGGGGAAAGCTGACTCCTATCTAGAAAACAAGGAAAGGTTCTGAATCTGCCTTTCAACTAACTACTCAAGTTTGAGAGCCTGCCAGGGACCAAGCACTGTCCTAGGTACCCGGGCTAGTACACGCAGACATCGTCTGTTCTGTTGTCGGGGTGTTTGGTAATTCACAGTTACTCAGTTTACACCTAGCTTGAACCTCCCAGTGATTCTCTGAGGGGCTTTATCATGTGGCAAAAGATCATGGGACCAGACCATAGCCTCTGGGTTTTACTTTGAGTGCAGTTATTTCTTTGCTGCCTTCCTAAACTGAGGGGGGCGGGGGATGAAGATCTGAGCAGACTTGCCTGTGTATAGCTTTCTGAGATACTATAGTTATGTATACACAGGGCCTGAGCTATTCACATCCTTGAAGATGTGAATGTTGTATTCATTCATTTAAAACATTTCATTAAACTTACTTGAGGTAGAATACATCACTACAGAAAAGCAGATACTGTAAACATGCAGTTCCATAAATTCTTGCCAACTTCTCAGTTGGTATAAGGCGTAAGGGTATACTCATTTTAAATCCTCAGAGCACCCATCACAGCCATAAGACATTCAGGGTTTGCTGAATGAACGCGACAGAGGAGGCTGTGCTGGTCATGAAATCACACAGGTAGGTTAAAGCAGCATTGGCTTCATTTGAGTCCAGTTCTTGTTCTAAGCTCTTGCCTTGTCACAAGGCTGTTACAGGCTCATCTCCAAGGCCTTGATAGTATGGAATCCTATTAATTGCTCCTGTTATTAAGGAAGGAGATTGCAAGTTTAAATGAAAGGGGGAGAAACTCATCAAAAATGACTTATGACTTTCTGCCCTGCAACCTCTGGTAACAGAGCCTTCCTAACTGGAAAATAAGGCACTTAGTCACATCTCTGGCCAAAGGAACCAGGAACACATTGGACCTTGTATACAATTTAATATTGTCTTTTTTTTTTTAAGATTTATTTATGAGAGAGAAAGAGTGTGCATGCAAGATGGGGGAGGGGCAGAGGGAGAGAGAATCCCAAGCTGACTTCCAGCTGAGCGTGAAGCCCGGATGCAGGGCTCAATCCCATAACCCTGAGATCATGACCTGAACCAAAATCACAAGTTGGACTCTCAGCCAACTGAGCCACCCAGACGCCCCATTGCCTTTATTTTTTTCAACTAACATTTACTCAATATTTATGTACTAGGACTAACAAAATTAATCAAGATGTGCTCCTTGCTTGGCTCTCCCACTGGAATAGTAGAGCCTAGACAATGGTAACGAAGAGAGATGGCCATATTCTTGAAGAATATCAACTCTCCACCAGTGAGATTTTAGATTCTAAATCCAAAATACTGCTTGTTCTTGGTCCCAAGAGCATGTAAAAAAACTCCAGGGGCAACTGGGTGGCGCAGTCGTGTTAGGTGCCCAACTCTTGGTTTTGGCTCAGGTTGTGATCTCAGGGTCATGAAACCAAGCCCCACATCGGGCCCTGCACTCAGCATGAAGTCGGCTTGAGATTCTCCCTCTGCCCCTCCCGCTCGTGTGCTCTCTAAAACCAATCAATCAATCTTAAAAACGCACATACACACACAACTTCTCTGAAGCTCCCTGCACATGAATGTGTTCTTTGGACTGTGAGATATAGCAAAGACACTTCCTCTATGTCTTTCTCCTCTTTGCAAGCTTTTTATCAGAAGATGTATGGGACTTGCTGAGAGCTGGCCCCTAGTGGTTTGGACCACAGATGTGAAGACGCCTGGCTGTCTCCCCAGAAGGAACTTGGCTTGAGTTCTTATTGCTCAAAACCCCAGCTTGTGTGGGGCTAGGGTGATGGGAGGAGAGCCACTGCCACTCTGTTCTACACTGAAAGCAGTGTCACTTGACCTGAGAAACAAGTATCCAAGACCTCTTCAAGGGCTTAATCAGCACTCAAAAGATATAGGGTAGAGCTCTCTCAAGTGCAGATCCTGGACCTCTGCAGCACAAATCACCCAAGGTATTTGGTAGAAATGAACATTTCCACCTCTTCCTTGACCTACTGAATCAGACACCTCATGGAGGAGGAAGACAAAAATCTTAGTTGAAAACAAGACCTAGAATAACTGATGCACATGTTCCATGCCTTCTAACAGCTTTCACTCTGAACACCTGTAGAGGCAGAAATTGTGGATCAAGATCTGTCTTCAGTTCACCAAGCACCATGCACTGCACAACAGGAAGCTTTGGGTTTGATTAAACTAACAGTATCCAGAGGACAGGAATCATGTTTGCTCTTCACTGATGTTCATATTCACACAACAAATGCAAAATGTCATATTATAACCACAGCCAGGCTAGAAGTCATGAGGAGTAAGTAGGCCACCTTGTTGTGTCTAATTGGCCTTCTTAGATCTCAGCCATCTTCATAACTTCTCAAGAACTCTTTCATAAGGGAAAAACTGCAAAATGTGCTGTTTACCTATAAGTACCAAAACCAGTGAGGTAATTCTCCCAGACCAGAATGGTACCGTCTCCTAAATCCTACTGGGACTATGAGGAGAGGGTGTTAGGTGTCTAAGGTTACGGCCACAGAGAGCACTTAGTTCCAGCAAAAATGGCAGGGTAGGAATCATTACTCACTTGGACAGGAGAAACTGAGATCACAGTTACCCGGCAGAGCACAGCATTTAAGTATGCTAATGTTGGGGGGCACGGGGAGGGGTAGCACACATGAATTATCTGCCCAACTGTATGGTGAGCAGATTGCAAACCACAGGCCAAGCACCTGGGCACGGGGCTTTAAATTCTAGACTACAATACTTCCTGAGCTCTCTGGGACACCTGCGGGCAGGTGCACTGAGGATGTACACAGCAAGTGTGCTTGGTAACGCAATCTAATTGGGGAGTGGATGAAGTGCATTTATTTTCTTTCAGATGTGTTTTTCTTTAAAAAAAAAAAAAAAAAAAGGAAAAAATCCTCCTTTCCAGCACCCAATGTCCACTGGGCTTGGAGGGGTGGAGCCAGGGCCAGCCCCCTAAGAGAAGGTGTAGGAGTAGAAGGCAACGGCATTGGCAGAGTAGTCCATGGGGAGGAGGTGCCCGATGTGCCTGGCCCCGAGGCTGGCCCCACCTAGGGCAGAGGAGTGTTGCAGCTTCATCAGGGTGAAGCTGGAGAAGGAGTTCTGGGCCTGGATCTCTCGGCCCTGGGTCAGCGCCAGAAGGAAACCTGAAGGGAAAGAGGGCAGAGGGCAGAGGGCGGAGGTGAGAGTAGACCAGCACCCTGTGGTCGAGACCAGGAGAAGGTGGGACAAAGACGGAGGGAAAGGAGAGGCCCAAGCCCTGAGGCATTCCTGTGCAGGTCCTCGAGCGGCCCACATGCCAAATCCCTAACAGGCAGGGCACCGGGACATGCGCCCAGTAAGGGCTGTGGGGTACTGGAGCCTGCAGCCACCAGGCACCCAATGCCGGGAACTCCAAGGAAGCAGTGGCGCCTTCCAACTACTTCAGAATGTCTAATGAAAGCACACAGCCACCTGAACTAACGCTGCAAGGGCAAAGAAGACACCTTTTCTCCTTCTGGCTGCAACTGTGTTGACTAGAGATGTCACCACATGCAGGTGAGAAGCCCTCATTTCAAGGGAGATCTTTCTCCAATTTTTAAGAAATGGTGCATAGCTGATAAATTCTTTAAAAAGAACATAGTTTTAAGAGTTCAAGGAAGCTGAGTGAGACCCAGTAAAAGGGCTCCCTGGCAGACTGAAGGCGGAGGGCTATGGCCTGTCCAGGCCTCAGGGCCCAGGTCCCAATTCTTCCCCAGGGCAGGCAGCTTTCCCGGATACCCCCCCTCTACCGCCCACCCCAGGCTCACCTTCCCTCAGCAGCTCCCAGCTCTTCCACACAGAGCCCACACACAGGATGGGGAGGCCCATCTCCCCCTGGAACAAGACCTGGCGGAGAGCAGAAGTGGACACTGGGGGTGACCAAACCTCTCCAGCGCTGAAGTGGGTACTTTCTTAAGACCAGCCCACCCGATTCCTGTTACCCTCCCTCTAGCCAAGGTAGATTGAAGAAAAGGGAGATTCATAAAGCCAAGGGAGAGAACGGAAAGGAAAAAGGGTGAAGCAACAATACAGAGGAAGGAAAGAGAAGGGAGGGAAGTGGACGGAAACGTGTACCACGTTAAAGCAATTTACTCTATAGGAATGCAGGCCGCGGGCCAGCCACAGAGGGGAGGCACTGGACCCCAGAACTTTTCTGTTTTAGAGACTTTATACAGAGTTTTTCTCACACCCTAAGTTCATTTAAAACTGTGCCCCCTTTACAGAGTTTGATGGGAGAGTCTCATCCCTGAGGGGAAAGAGCCAAATCTGGCCTAGCAGCATCCAGGTTTCCTCTCCCACCTCGACTCACCGGGTCAATCTCAGGCAACACTGCCACCACGTGTCTGCCCAGCATCTCCCCAGCCTTCCTGAAGATAAACCGGGAGAGGGCATCTCCCTGCTGGGCACCTGTGGTGGGTGGGGGGGTGTAGTGGTGAGTACCTAGGGAGCTGCCTGTCCTCTGCTATTCCCTCTGTTGCAGGGTAGAAACAGGAGCACCTATAGCTAGTAAAGATCTAAATTAGGAATGGATGCCCACCTCAAGCCTCCAAAGTGGTCTCTCCATCCTTACTGCCCCACCCCCACCAGGTACCCCCAGCAGAGGAGGGATGTCCTGTACCAAGGCGGCTCATTCCAGGCACAGGAGAGAAGCACAGTGGCATCTGGTCTGTACTCCAGCTTACACAGGGTTACCGAGTCTGTTCCTGAAGGTCTCCCACCTCTGCGGACCCTACTTGAGCAACGGGCTGGTGTTCCTGCCCCACCCCCCATCCAACAGTCTGCTGTCGGTCCGCCCCTCCCTAGCTCTGCTCTGAAAGGACCTCAGTCCAGCAAGATCTAAGAGGGGCCTCCAAATGAAGGGAGTATGAACCTTACAGTGGAGAAACAGCACTGTGCAGACAAGCAAGCCCTACGGTTTAGCTTCTCTTGACCCACAACCCACCACGCCGAACCTCTCTACGATCTCCTAGCTCTTCGGGTATTATTAGTTTGTTTTTTTATCTCTTTTAATTACAGATTTGCCCAAAGGACAATTGCTTCAGAAATTTCTCAGAAACAGACATACAACCTGCATAAGCCATGACAACTGTCAAGAAGAGAAACATAGATACTATAAAACAATTGTCAATACAACCCACATGTCCTTCTGGCTCCACCCCAAGGCCTATCAGTACCAAGGTACAAAGAACTGAAGTCACTTGGTCAAAGGGAAATTAGCTTCCGGTTCCCATATGAACCCCATTCCATCCCCCAATTAGGGAAGTCTTTGGGGGAACAAAACCAAATAAAACCCTGCCCCCCCCCACACCGTACCTTCTGCAATTTTCTGGCAAAACCCAGCAAACCGGCATTTATCAAAGTCCCTATACAGGTGGGTGAGGATTCCTAGCCGATCTGGCACCTGAGAGACAGAAAAGGCACAGAGAGTCATCAGAAGCAAAGGAAAATGTGCAGTCTGCCCACCCAAGTTGATCTTCCTGATGTCTGTGTTTGAAAAGCTAGAATAATGTTTGTTTTTTTAAGTTCTAGAGAACACAAGGATTTGAGATTTCTCATTTGAGGGAAGTTCTTTGTTTTCCCCACATGGATTCCATCGCTCCTTACAGATTAGCTTGGATACACACAGCACAGATCTATACGCACCGAAGTGCCTTCTGCAGTTCTTTGAGGTGCTCCTGAAAAGATTTCTTTGGCGAAAAGAATCTAAGGACTACTGCACATTGCAGCTCTCAGAGTCACAGTGCGAACTAGCAAGTTAAAGGCCCTGTGTAAGTTTATTTCAGAAATCTATTCATTTCTCCCAAACTCCTCTGACCACAGAAGTTCCTTCTCTCACCCTAACAAACGGCCTCTGCAGGTCCTGAGGGATGGGCGCTTCCCCAGAGTACACACTAAAATGGGAGAAGGGGGGCTACAATGTGAGCACCTACAGCCATAAGGTAAGCATGTTCCGCACACAATCTCATTTAATCCTTGTAGTGACTTTGTGAGAATGACTAAAGGCTAAAAGAGGGCGTGGGAGACCTACTAGCGGGGTTTAGAACCAATCTGTTGGGTCAGGGTAGTTTAACTGCACCTTCCATAGCAGCCGCTATGGAAAGTCATTTCTCTTCCTGGTCCCTCCCTCCTCCTCACCTTGACCCTGGCCAGAGTTTCTCTGTAATCAATTAATCCCCGAACCTTGAAAATACAGGTCCTACCTTCCAGTATCTCTAATCTCCTTCCTTGAGCCCGTCCCCAGCCATGTAAGTGGCTCCCGTGCAGAGAGGTCTGTCGAATAGACTTATATTCCTTCTCCTCTCCCCTTTTACCTTGGGTTCAGCTAAAAACAGCTGCTTCCTAGTCCACTACAAATAAGCATGGCCCAGACAGAGGAAAGCCCTGGGTAGGAGGTTATACCTCCCCCCAAGAACTCTCCCTGCCCACCTCTTTTTTTTTTTTAATTAGGAGATTTTATTTATTTATTTCAGACAGAGAGAGAGAGCATGAGCGGGGGAAAGTGGCAGAGAGAGAAGCAGGCTTCCCGCTGAGCAGGGAGCCTGATGTAGGGGCTCGTTCCCAGGACCCTGGGATCATGACCTGAGCCGAAGGCAGACACTTAACCGACTGAGCCACCCAGGCGCCCACCATGCCCATCTCTGTAACAGGATCTCCTCCCTGACCCATACAGGCCAGAAGCAGCTCACTGACACACCTGTTCAAGCTTCACCTGCTGTCTCTGAGTACACCGCCTCCTGATCTCACCCTGCACTTCTCACTCCAGCCTGAAATGGCATCTACCTTCATCTCCCAGCAGGGCCTAGCTGCCCAAGAATGAATTCTAGCTAACCACCTGTCCCCAGCCTGCCCACTCCTCATGCCTGACATCCTCTTGGTACGTATCACCCACGTCATTATGAATCCTACCCTCACCTGGAACTTCTCCATCCTCCAGCTCTGACCCACATTCACCTTGACTTCCCTTCGGCTCACCCAGTTCTTCTCCTACATTCACTCCTGCTCAGTATCCCACTGTCCCATCCCAGGTGGGCATGTTTACCAGAGGCAGGGGGAAGTACCTGGAAGTAGTTGAACATCGCCTGTTTGATGTAGCCAATGTCATGAGGAGCCGCCTCTAGGTTGTCAATAGAGTCGAACACTATTTTCACTGCTTGGTGTGCAATCCAGTAGGCTGTGGAGGGCAGAGAGGGCTAAGAAGATGGGCTAATCTCCCCGAGTTCATAGATAAGGAAACTCAGACCTAGACAGGGTAATGACCAGCTTGGGTATTACAGCAAATTAGGTGCCCCAATTTCGACTGTATCTGACCAACCCACAAAGGGAAAGCTAGGGGGAAGACAAGAGGTAAGGCTGGGTCACACCAGCTCCTACCTAAAAATAAAGACAAGGTCAGTCAGCTGTCGCAAAGACCACTGTGGTCACTGCCATGAGCTGGCCCCAAAGGCCCCTATGAAAAGATATACCTGCTACCTATAAAGAGGTCATGCAGGAGGAGTTTCTATGCCCCTTTCCTATTAGCAGACTGGTCCAGCATGTCCTGGCATCTATGGCCTTAACCTTCATAGTGTCATTTCCTCCCCAAGGACTCCAAAAGTCAACACAGGTGGGCAACAACTATTATGCTGAGGCGTGAATCTGAAGCTGGATACACATCACTGCTGCAGACCAAGGGCAGCCACTAGTCCGCAATCTGCATCTCTGTGTTCTCTAAGTCATTATCCTGGACTCAGAGCAACTTTTCAGGAGCTGTCCCCGGAGAGCCCCAAGGGGTTGGTGGCCAAGGGCAGGGGAGAGGAAGATGGGGAGCGGCAGGAAGGGAAGGGTCCGGGGCCTTAAGCCTCAGAGCCAGGCCCAGCTGCCATGAACTCACCTGAGCCCTCGTCCCCCATCATGTGGCCCCAGCCGCCACAGCCGCTCTCAGAGCCGTCAGGGTTGATGAGCCTGCAGTTGGAACCTGTCCCAGAGATGAGCACGATCCCACCTGGGGAAAGGGCACGGGAGGCTCAGTGTGGCCAAGGCCCTGCACGGAGCACACAGCTTCTGACTGACGAAAGAGGAGAGAAACCAGCCCCGGGATCACCACCCAGTCTTGTAGAGAAAACTGAGCCCAGCCAGTTTCCCACCTGAAAGTGGAGGGCCTGCGTCTCAAAGAAGCTCCGATCTACACAGAGCCCTTCTCTGGGAGACGAAGAGGAACATGAGCCTGCCCCCTTGCCCAGCTAAGTGACTACCTGCCTTACTGCGTGCCTATTATGAGCCAGGGATTGTGCTAGACTCTGTTCACACAGTGATACTCATTCAACATCCTAAACCACTTTTGGAACTACAACTGCCTCCATTTCATAGAGGAGGGAACTGAAACTCAAGAGTTCCATAACTTCTCCAAGACGGTACTGCTGACAAAATAGGAGCAGAGATTCAAATGCCAGTCTCAGGATACGAAGGCCTCTTACACTCGCACAGAGCTCTGTCTGTCTTCTTCTTAGCCCTCAGCTGCCCCCCCCAGGCAGCCTCCTCACCACAAGGCCTCTGCAGTGGAGGCTCAGGTCTGACTGAGATACTGTTCTGCCCTCGCACCTTCTGTCCAGTCCCTGCTCCGGCAGGGACTTAAGCCAAGAAAAAGAGCAGGGAGAAGGGGGCAGGGTATGCTCGAGGCTGCCTTCCAGGTATTTCGAGACAAGTTCTGCCAGCTGTAACTAAGGGGCTTTCCCAAGAAAACCAGTTCTCAACCTCACCCCGCCCTCGTCCTCACCATCCTGTGTTGCTGTGGCGATGGAGCCCGCGGCATCGGTGGTGATTAAGTAGCTTTCACTCAGGTGGGGAAATCGGTCCCTCAGCAACTCCGTCAGGATCCTCAGTGCTTCCTCCTGCACCCCACCGCTCAGGGACAGGCCCTAGGCCGCGTGGGATGTGAGTGAGCGGGCAGGGCCCCAGACCCAGCTCCTTTCTCCACCCCCTCCCTGCCTGGTGCCTACCCCTACCCTCCACATCCGGGCATACCCTGCTTATCCAGCTCCAGTCCTCCTTCCGCGCCACCCAGTGACCCACCAGGAGGCTGCTGGCTGCGAGAAGAACCTGGTCTGGGAATGAACCCAGAGTGGGGATTCAATAATGCCAGGTTTGGAGGGCGGGAGGGTCAGCAGTGCCGTCAACGGAAAAGTCAGGCAGAAGAGCAAGCAGAGGAGGTGAGCTTGGTGTGGAATACAGGGGGCTTCACTGTGCCTGCAGAACCTCTCACTGAGGCTACGGCCAGGGGTAGTCGGAGCTACAGCAGCTTGAGAGAAACGTCTGAGCGGAGACTCACAGCTGACGTTTAACGAGTGCTCATAGGTCAGGCTCTACGCTACGCACTTTGGGATGTACCACGTCATTATTCTTTCCCAACAATTGAGGTAGCTACCGTTACTTGCATTTCCCTAATGAGACAGGCTTGGAGGAGGTAAGTAGCCTGCTAAGAGTCTCGCAGATATTGAGTGACAAAACTGGGATTCAAACCAGGGTCTCACTGGCTCTCCAAAGCCCTGGGCTCCCATCCTTGTGGCTTGTGGGTGACAACTGAAGCCATTAGAATGGGTGAGAATATATGTTTCTAGACCAGAGACTAAGCCCTCAAGGCCTTTCACTCTGCAGTCATCAGACTCATCTGGTCAAAATGGCTGTCTGTGTTTCTGCACCTTAATTCCCAGGCTCTACCCCAGACTCACCAAGCTTCGTAGAGGGACCAGAGGATCCACCCCTGCTTCCAGTTTGGCCCTGTTCACCATCTCGTTGATCCTCTCCACACACTTGTCTGTCCCGATTAGCTGGCCCCAATCAAGGGAAAGAGGAGTTACACAGACTTGCATGACCTGTGTTGCCCCAATAGGCTGCTATACTCGGCCCCAGCCACCATCTTAATGGGAGTTACAGAGGATAAAACCACAACCAAACCCACTGGTCTCTCAGTGGGGTCTTTACCCAGTGGTTTGTGCTGAGTCCATCTGCTTCTGCCAGGATCTGCCCATCCTCTGAGAGTAAAAGGACCTTGGATCGTGAGCCTCCCCTACAGAACACAAGGGGGCACTCAGTCTTGCTCAGACAAACCTGCAGGGACAGCTAAGCTTGTGCAGTCCTTGTCACAAGCAGAGCCCAGGGCCATGGTGACAGCTTTGGAAAACCCAATTCCCATTCCCAAGCCCACTTCTGTGGTCTGGTTTGATGTGCTACTGGACTGAAATGTTGCTCCTGCTCAGCTTTCCTCGGGGATGTCCTATTTATCTTGCAAGACCCTACTTCTCTATCACCTAGTCCTTGAAACCCCTGACTCCTGGCCTACCGCCACAGCTCCATTAGTTAAACCACATCAGTGCCCCCACAACTCGTAACGATTCTGGTAAGAGTGTTTAATCGTTTTTCCGTCTGCCTCTCACTACACTACAAACTCCACGGAGCCAAGCTCCAGATCCTTTATCCACCGTCATGCCTGGCACAGGCCAACACTCAGTAAATGTGACTAAAGGGTGTGGCACATGTCTCTGCTTCTTTCACAATAGCTAAAGGCCACCTTTCAAGATCCAGCTCCAGCTACCAAGTTCTTCAAGACACCCTTGGGAGAAACACTGACCAGAGAGGGCAGAGAGAGTTTATACCTACTTAAGCAACCAAATGGTGAAATGCTTATTACTGGGGGAAATGGTAGTTTGGAGGGAGGTCTGTGGTGGTGTGATGTATGTTTCTTCATTGATCAGAACTCTTGCGAATATCAAAAGAGGACACTAAAGACCTGCTGATCAAACTCAAAGATGACAAGAAGTTTCAAGGGGTAGTTAATGCACGAGGCAACAGATTCAATGTCCATAAGCATCTCTTGACAACCTAGAAAAATAGGTCGTATCTTACACATGAATATAAGGGACAAGCGCAAGCTCCTGTACTGATTTTTTAAAAAGTGCAACAGACACAGGACGGGGGAGATCAACCTTAACAAAAGAAAAAAGACATGGGAGTCTGTGAGTCAGCGCGGCACACAAGTAAAACCAATCTCAGATTCAAAAGTAAGTGCCTGGGCTGTGACAAGAGCCACCCTCTCTTATGGCCAGATGTGACACAGAATGACAGAGGGTTCAATCTGGAATGCTGACAAGAACAGGGGTGTCCAGGCATCAGGACAGGCTAGCACTTTGGCTGGCAGCTATTCTAGCTACCAGACCCCTCTGGCAAAGGTCTTTGTCCCCGGCTTCCACCACACTCCCACTCCCCACCCCGAGTCCAGCAACTTCACACCTGACACCTGTTCAGCTAAACTCTCTCCGGGATGCGGAATGAGGAAGAGGAGCTTCTAGATCTAGCGGGGGACGGTGGAGTGGGTCGTTCGTGGGAGAGAGGGGTGTGGTTCCGCCGTGAAACATAAAGGACCCCCCGCCCCGGGTGTGGCCGTGCACACGCAGAGTCCCCGCAAGCGCTCGGGCACTGCCGCGCGTGCACACACCCCTCCTCCGCAAGACCCCGCAGCTCAGAAGCCCAAAGTGGCCGGCCCCTAAGGTGGGAGGTCACCAGCCTGCCAGCCTGGCCATAGGCTTCCTTCCTTTCGCCCTCCTGCCGCTTCCAAGCCGCCCCTCCCGGGTTCCCTCCGCTGAGCCGCACTCACCCCTCCACACCCCCGTACAGTGCGGCCATGGCCGTGCTTCCGCCGCCGCAGATCCCGCAGTTTGCTTCTCCCCCGCCCGCTCGGCGCCGCCCCCCGGTCACATGAATGCCCGCGCCGTCCCGCTGACTCGCGACAGCGTGTGCGCGGGGCGGGGCGCCGCTAGCCCCAGGCCGGGGCTGAGCGAGACTCGTGGGCTGGGCGAGCGCGGTCCTCAGCGGCTCCTCCGGACGCCTCCCCACCTCCTGGACCTGCCTCCGGAGATGGATACCCGAGCCAAGCCGAGGAGCCAGAGAGGGGTGTCGGCTCCCACCCACTGGACAAGTTCCTGCCCTGCCCAAACCCACCAGCGCCCGGAAGTTGCTGACAGCTCCGTCCCCCGCGTGCGCACTGCTTATGAGCCACGTAGACTGAGGGTGACCGGCGCGGAGAGGCGGCCCCGGGCAGTCCGGGGCAAGGGTTTGGGGGGGCACCTTAAAAATGAGGCTGTGCAGGCCGCCTGGGCGGCTCCATCGGTTAAGGGTCTGCCTTCGCCTCAGGTCATGCTCCCAGGGTCCTGGGATCCCGCTCCACATCGGGCTCCCTGCTCGGTGGGGAGCTAGCTTCTCCCTCTCCCTCCCGCTTCTCCTGCTTGTGCTCTCTCTCCCTGTCAAATAAATAAAATCTTAAAAAAAAAAAATGAGACTGCCCAACCCAGCACCTGCCTGGCCATAGCAAAAGTCATACTTTTGTGTACACAAACACCACGCAGACTTCGCGCCGCACTTGTGCCGAGTATGGGTAATCAGCAGTAACTAGAATTGGGCCAGGAAAGGAGAAAAGCCCTGAGGCTGTCCTTGCAACCAGAGAAGGGGGCGGTCAGCTTTTAGCACCCGCTCAGTTCAATTCTTTGGGCAGGGTATCCGCGGGGACACAGACTAGAAACCTTTTGTTGCCCTCCACCCACCATCCCACTCGCCTTCCACAGGATTGGGAAAAGGGAAAGGGAGCGAGAAGGAGGGGGGAAATACTAGCCAGGGTCTGGAACCAGGAGGGGGCTCCTGTGAGCCTCCGTGGGTTGCTCCAGGCTGTTGCCGGCCCACGGTGGGGCAGCTTGCCAGGCCAGGAGGGAGGTCAGCTGCCCTTGGCATCTCTTCAGGAACTTCAGCCTTCGGGACCAGTCCTTCACAGGGCAGTTCTCAAACTGGCCTGGTCCCTGCTCTGCCTGCTCCCCATCCCTGGAGGTACCTTCTGTCTTATTTTAGAGACACCCTGCACTAGTAGCTTCTTTCCCTGATAGCCAATTGGGTCTGGTTATGTTTTGGTGTGAACCTTTGGCATATATGTGCTCTTTTAGACTGGAAGAGAGGAGTCTTTACCACATGACTTACTTATTTGGGACGTTGAAACACTACAATGTAACCCTCAAGAGTAGTTGAAAAGTAAATCACTACAGTCATAGAAAATATCAGAGAGAGGGGCAGGATTTTTTTTTTTTTTTTAATGCCCACCTGTGTCATTTACATCTGCAGAACATCCGAGCTGGAAGGTGCTTAATCCAACACATGGTTTTAGAATAATGGAGCTCATTGATTCTGGTAGGCTTAAACTGGGCAGGATTTTTGGAGGCGATTGTAGGTGGATTTTGAAAGGACTGTGCCTTTTTGCACACTAGGGCAGTGAGCCCTGGGACCTGTATGTATGGTAGTTTCCCTTTGTACTGCTTGTTTAGAAAAGGAAGCAAAAGAGAAAGTGCCCAGATTCAAAGACACGGACTGAGTTCACCATTTACTAGCCGAGGACCTTGGGTGAATTACACACAGTCGCTGCAGCAGCTGCTTCTTATCTACAAAATGGAAATGATAAACGTCCACCTACCCAGACTAACACAGGATTTAAATATCATAAGAATTTTGGAAACCTTAAAGTACTGCGCAGATTGTAACTAATTTTCACTTACGTTACTAATTACCCTGTGCTGTCCAGCACAGTAGCCACGTGGGACTACTGAACACTTGAAATGTGGCTAGCACACTTGAGCTTGTAAAATACAGGATTGCAAAATAAGCTAACAGCAGCCTTGAAAACTCCCTGAACGGACAAAATCAGTCGTCATATACACAAGGCTTAACTTAGCTTCTTTTGCAAGACTAACTTGACCTGGGTTATTTGCTGCTTAGGCCTCTAGAAATCATAAGCACAACTTGAACTGTCCCAAGGTTCATAAGAGGTAACCACTGGCCATTTCCCTATCATTTAAGAAAATTTTAATACTGTAACTGTACAGGCTGCTTTTAGGCAAATGGGCTTGAGCAATGGTATGAAGAAAGGGCCCACAGCGACCACTTGGCTGAAGACAGACAGGCTGACCATAGGCCCTAACTGACCAATGAGCTACTTAAAACCAGGCACAGTTACCAAAAAGGGGAGAATTCCATATGTTGCCAAACCTCTTCACCTTCCCTCTTTAAAAACAGCCCCAACTCACTGCCTCACTGCAGAGAGCCTCCCCTCTGCTGTCCCGCTGCCGTTCCCTTGTGGTGTATTCAATATCTGCCACAGGTGAGTTCCTTCATGTCCCTCCCAACCAGCTTCCACCAGATCCTCGCCCGCCATCTGATTGAGAGATGCCCTATTTAGACACCACAATAACCAATCGCAGTAAAGAATAAACAGTCACAGTCTTGTCACTAAATAAGCTGTTTTATAACGATACTATCTCTGAGCCTCATTCCATGTTTTGGCTTGAGTGCTCCTGGTTTGCAAACTGTACTTTTGGTGTGTGCGCAGTAAACTTGTATTAATTACTACTTCAGTGATTCATTGGTTTTACTTCTGTTATTTCTGAACTTTTAACAGTGTTGTCCATTATAGTTCTCTAAAGCTCTTTCGTGTACTTTTATCTTGTTTGATTATTTTTTTAAAGATTTCATTTATTTATTTTTGAAAGGTGGGGAGGGGCGGAGGGAGAGGATCCCAAGCCAACTCCTCCCCGAGCACAGAGCCCAAGGAGGGGCTCCATCTCACAGCCCTGAGATCGTGACCAGAGCCGAAACCAAGAGTTGGGCACTCAACCAACCAAGCCACCCAGGTGCCTCCTTGTTTGATTATTTTAACAACCCCATGAAAATATCAGAGATTTTTAACCACTTATTACAGGTGGGGAAGCTGAGGCTCTGAAACCAAAGCAATTAGCCGAGGCTCACACAGATACATGTTCCTCCCTGTGGCTGTGCTAGGTACAGGAGGAAATAAAGATGTTGCAATATATATACAAGGGTTAACTTCTACTTAGCTTTGTAGAAGTTTAATAGCCCCTTTCACTGGGCTTGCCACATCCCAACAGCTGCCTCTGTGATGCTCATGTGGCTGGTAAAGTCCTCTTCTGCGAGTCACAGTCTTGTTCTTTGTCCCCGTGGCTCCAGGGAGGCCAGATTTCCACTGGGGGCGGGGCAGGCAAGAGGAACAGCAGGAAAATACCTTCCTTCCCAAATCCACTCGATTGTGGGTCAGAGAACTTTGGGACCCAAGGTCTTCAACAGGTTATGTTGACCTGGTTCATGAAAGCACAACCACATCTGTTTTTGCTCATTGTACTTCCAGGGCTAACCTCGGTCCAGGCACCTGAGAGGAGGTCCATAAGTAGTTTTTGGGAGTGCTTATAAACCATAAAGCACTGTATCACAGTCACGAGAGGTAGTAAATGCCCCACCGTGAACTAAAGAGGGGAGCAAGCAGATTCTGTAGCAGAGACAATTTGCAGAACAGATTTGGAGAAAACAGTAGGGAAACTGGCCTGGGGAAGCAAGAGTTGGAGAAGTAATCAAGGGGCCTCAAAAGGATCCAGCCCTAATCTGTCCTAAATTGGGAAGTTGCCAGCACAAGGGTGACCTCAGCACTGTGCTTAGGATTATTAATCTGGGAGGTTCCTTATAGCAGGACAAATGGGAGGGAAGAGCCTGGAGCAGGGAGACATTCAGAAGGCTGGGGCAATGGCACAGGCAAGAATGAAATGAACAAGGAAGTGATGAGGGATAGGGCATAGCAGAAATCAGGAGGAGGGATCCAAGTCGGGGGTCGTGCTGACCTCTCCCTCTATGGATCTGGGATGAGGGCAGAGACAGAAGCTGGAGCTGACTTTCCCACAGTGAAAGGAGAGGGGTAAGGAGCTGCCTTACTAAAGGTGGAGGTGGGACTCCCGAGCTGGTAGCTGGAAGGCAAGAGAAGGGCTCTTCCAGACCTGCAGGACAGCCAGGAATCAGCCAGGAGAGGCGAGGAGGGGTGTGGTGGACAGATTGCAGAAACAAGTACAGACGGCTGACGATAAATATAAAAAGTCTGATCGCCTAGTCTCCTGCCCCTTGATCTGAAAGTGTGCGGTCTTAGGCCAGTGCAGCGACCCCAGAAAATTAGGTTGGTTTATCCCCCTTTCTGAGTGTGGGAGTATCTATGTGCGGTTTCCTTGCATGTTTTGGCTTATGTGTATCCATATGTAGATGTGGATATGCTTATTTATATATTTGAACTTGTACAGGTTTCTAAGTGACTGATGTGTTTACAAGCACATGTATTTGAGATAATATCTTTATGCATTTCTCTGTGCCTAGTGTATATACAGAACTGGAATTAGAATTTCAGTTCTTCAAGGAACCTAAGCAATCCTGGATGTTTAGGCAACTGTGAGCAGATGCACAGATGTGTAAACGTAACGTGACAGTGTGATGCTGGAACAGGCTCGCCCTAGCTCACAAAGAACAAGCTGTGCACATCTTTCTAACTTTCACTAGGTGACATCGCACTGCAGCTCAAAATTGCCATGGTAGGAATATTTACAACACAGAAACCAGTAACTGCTCTAAATCAGGTGGTTGTTGTCTTCCAGAAAGTTGGCTGTTAAACGTTTACCAGCACACACTGGGCACATATGTTTTATGTGTGTGAGACGTCCTTGCTCCGGGTGTATCAGTGTACAAGTGCATATATGAAAACATCCACCTGTGTCGTGGGTCCACTCTTTTATAGATCACAAACTCAGGGGTGCAAACCTCCAACTGTTTTCCTACAGCTGAGCTGAATTTCTATCTCAATCCTCTGCTCCTAATCGAATCATG